ATGAAAGACCTAAATGTAAAACAGGAAGCCATCAAAATCCTAGATGGATGAAAGACCTAAATGTTAGACAGGAAGCCACCAAATTCCTAGAGAAGAAAACAAGCAACAACCTCTTTGACCTCGGCCACAGCAACTTTTTTTTTTTTTTTAATGTTTATTTACTTTTGAGACAGAGCCAGCTGGCTGGCGTCTGCTTTGGGGTGTTTAAACTGAGGTCAGAGAGGTTCCTCAGAGTAGCTAGGTCCTCTTGTCTTGACAACTTCCCATCTCTGCTTAGGTCAGCTTTGATGGTCTAAGTGAACATCTGACCCTCCTTAGCAACTTCTCCATTACTTCCAAGAAATTTGGGAAGTGAGTTGAAGGCAGTAAACTTAACACCTGTCCAACCTGTTTTAAATGGGACAGGCCTCCACACGGCGTCTGTCTAAACATCCATCAACCTTTGTATTAACTGGGGTGCCTGGGTGGCTCTATCGGTTAAGCTTCTGACTCTTGATTTTGGTTCAGTCATGATCTCAAGGTTCTGAGTTCAAGCACGGCATCGAACCTCACGCTGGCAGCTGACAGCCATGAGTCTTCTTGGGATTCTCTCTATCCTCTCTGCCCCTCCCTGTGCATGCATGTAATGGTGTGTACGTGCATGTGTAAACATGTGCTCTCTCTCTCTTTCTCTCTCAAAATAAATAAACCTTTTAAAATAAAGCTTTTTAAAAAATACCTTTGTATTAACCTCTAGTCTCATTACAGGCAGAATGCGTTTTCATGAGGCTAACTGGGTGTCCTCCCAAAATCTATATTGAAGGAGAGAGAGTTGATTCTTAGGTTAAAGTGAGAAAACTAGCCTGAGGAAGTGTTTCTGAGACAACCACTAGGAGATTGGAAAAGAACACTCTCCTCTTTTTCAGTTATGGAAAAGTTAGGCATTTCTGATAGAGTGCAACACAGATAGTAATGCTAAAGTATAGGCCTTCTGGTGAGAGGCACATAGTAAGCACATTTGCATTGCAAGAATGCTGAATGGCTACTTATAATAGAGGTAGTAAATGCTATTGATGCTTTGTCTAGATTCTGTTTACTGGGCTAGTGCATCCATCCTAGCTCTTCCAAGCATTGGTTGCTAGATTCATAGTTGTACCCTTTTAGAGGATACCCAGGAGCTAAAATCCCCTCCTCTCCTCGTACTGCCGCCTTCTTGCTCCATACACTGTAACGGTTGGCAAATCATCAGTGGATATAAAGGTTGGCCTTTGCCTCAAAGTGGATCAATTCTGTGGTGCCCTTCATGTCCCAGAGTTGCAGGTTCAGGCTGAGCTATACTTCAGCTGGGCTCCATCTATGCCTAGTTTCTTCCTCTGTCCTTTGCTGTTCCCTCACCTCCAAAGATGTTCATCTGAGAACACTCCTCACTTCTAGGGAGCCCCACTTAAGACACAATGGTATTAATATGTTTCATCTCCGTATCTGTCTGTATTCTCACTTTCCCTTTCTCAATCAAGTCTACCTCCCTTGCCTCAGAGTAACTTTGTGGCAGGATTTTCCAGATTTTCCAAATCCCAAATCCACTGTGAATAACAGAGAGTTAGGGGAGTAAGATTTCACACTAAAGAGAAATCCCTCTTGACTGGAGGGGAAAAGAGAGAGGTCTCTGAGTCCTTGAGCAAATGGGACCTCTAGCCTCTTCCTAACAGCCCAGAGAAAACAGGAACCCAAGTTTGGTGGCCTGGATCCTTCCCAGGGCTCCCAACTTCACTAAATTCCTGTGTCTTTATGCCAAGCATGGCACAGAAGCTGCCTAACTGGCCCACCTGGAAACTTGAATGATGGGTATCACAGCTATAACTAGTGTGGAAAGAAATCTCCTTGTAGATAGATTTTAGTTTAGTCTACACAGTTATT